CTGTTGAATTTATATCCTTAAAATTTTACAAAAATATCATATTAATTGGACATTTAAAACTTGTTAACAAAGTCGTAAAATTATGAAAAATGTAACAAATATTATACTTTTTTTCACTTGCTACATTTCAAAGCAACTTACAAGTTCATTTTTTCTAAATTCCTAATTAATTGGATATTTATTACCCTCAACGTCATAAATCTTATCCTAAATAAGAATAAAATTGTGACACGAGAGGGTAATCTAGCATCAGTAGTATTTTTACAACGTATTTCTCAAAAATGGGGCAATAAAAGTATGTACAACCCCTTAACTACCCTTATATTGACCTGTAATAAATACAAGATAATTATCAATGTGGGAAAAATGCCTTATGTTATTGCCTTGAAGAGTTTTTATGAGCATTAATTTTGCCGTTTGAAGGAAAATATCTCATTAGTCTATTTCAGCAATAAAAAATTTAAGCAAAAAAAATATAAATAGAAATGTAATAAGTATATACTTTAACTATCGATATATGTAGTTTCTATAATTTTTTTACTTATATATGTAATCTATAAGCCTATCAATAGTATCAATATATGTAATTTCTATAGTTTTATTACTAGTATATATCATTGTTCTAGATAATAATTCCAGAATAAACATTTATTTTTGTAGATTTATCGAAAAATTAATTTTTGTATGGTTTTTTACCACAGATTTTATATTATCAGGTTCAGGTGACTTTGGTGATGGTTCTGAAGAGGAAGAGGACGATCCATTGGAACTAGTGCATGTTAATGAAGATTTCTTTTATATGGCTCATGTTATGAGACTGGCTGCTATGCTCCATAGTATTGTTTCTTTAGCCATGTTGATTGCTTATTATCATCTCAAGGTAAAAATGACATATTTTATAAAAATGATATGTTCTGATAAATATTTATTTTTGCAGGTTCCACTTGCCATCTTTAAACGAGAAAAAGAAATTGCCCGTAGACTGGAATTCGAAGGATTGTATATTGCAGAACAACCTGAAGATGATGATATAAAATCGCATTGGGATAAGCTTGTTATATCTGCCAAGTTAGTATTTTATTAAATTTAAAAAATAGTTACATTATTTTCAAAATATTATATTTTAAAAATATCTTAATCTAGAATATATTATAAGATTTTAGGAATTGTTATGAATAATGCTTAAATATTTAGCTGTAATTAATATTGAATGTCATATAATTATATTTTTTTTAGATCTTTCCCAGTTAACTACTGGGACAAATTTGTAAAAAAGAAAGTTAGGCAGAAGTACAGTGAAACTTACGATTTTGATTCTATTTCCAATTTGTTGGGCATGGAGAAATCTTCCTTTTCTCAGCAGGAGAGTGAAGAAGGCGGTGGTCTCATATATTTGTAAGTATTGTCAAAAACTTCCAAGCACAATGAGTTTGTCTACAAAATTTTATGTCCAACTGATGTAAAGGATTTACCGATAAATGCAATGACTAAACTGTTTACTTGTTATATCAGAATACAATAAGTATTACTACATATATGCCAGAGGTTCGAAAATATTGTATCATGCTATCAAATAAATAAAATTTTAGGCGGTAATAGTATGGAATATATGTTTTAGAGACATTAGTACTTTTAAATTATGCTCGTAATTTTTAACTTTTCGTAGGGCAAGTTATAGTAATCGCAAAAAAATCGAAAATGAAAATTTTTATATATCTTTACGTTTCAAAACCTTCAAAAATCAAAAATGAAAATTTTTATATATCTTTACGTTTTAAAACCTTTCGAACATTGTGGCATACTTTAGAAAAAATGGATGTATGTGTGTGTATGCGTGTGCGGATACAAATTTTCGTCGACGATTTCGGGAACACTGATGAAGCGATTTAAATAATTCAAAAAACATTCGATTCGTATTGATAAGGAGACGCGCTGATTAGTTTTTGGGAAAGGCAGGTCTAGCCATTTCGAAAATACGAGGCAAAAAGTGCCAAAAATGGTAACTGGGTTTTTAAGAGAACGGAGCGTCCGATTTTAATAATTCAATAAACATTTTACTTGTATTGAAAAGATAAAGAATTGATCAAATTTTCATAAAGGCAGGTCTAGCGGTTTCGGATATCTAGTGAAAAAAGTAAAAAAAAATGCCATTTGGCGGTCAAAAATGATCATTAGACATATGCACATCAAATTATCAGATATTTTACAGAGATTTTAATAATAAGTATACATTTTGTTTACATTCCTATGGCTTCCGTACCAATGTTTATCCGTCAGACGGCGACGCGGCGCTTACGCGCTTTGACATTTCGTCTCTATGCAGTTAAAGCAGTACGATTGCTTTAAAAAAAGTTCAGAATTTCCAAAATATGTCAAAATAAAGAAAACAATTGTCACAATTTTTTGTCAAATTTATAGTTTCTCAAAATCTTTTTAATTTTATAGTTTCTCATAATCTTTTTAAAAAAATAATAATTTTTGGTACGGGAAGTTCCAGCAATTTGCCTTAAGGCACGATGCCATGCGCTTCACTAGTCATATTATATATTTTATTTTTTATTTCTGTTTATTAATGTCTTGTGGATGAAAATTTTAATTTAACATCAAACGTTATTATATTTTTATATTATATGATACAGTTTGTTCTTTGTTGTATATCGTAAATAATTATGACAGTGATAAATTTGACAAAAACAAAATTACTTTTTGTTTGCTGATGTAGTTCGTATAGCTTAGATTGTGAATAATAATATTGATTATTATTATTTATTACTATCACAAATGGTTTAATATTTCGATCTTGCAACAATGATATCAGTTTTTACTTAAAAATGTAGACAAAAATATGTTTTCAAGTAAAAATAAAAATTCCTAATTAATTTTAAATGTGAATATCTTGATTTTATGTAATAATTTTCCCTAATTCTGATTTCTCATTTAATGATCATCTACTTCAATTTCCTCAGCATTTGGAACATCGACTGGCGTTACCAAGTTTGGCAAGCCGGCGTCACCATCACGGACAATTCTTTCCTGTACTCATTGTGGTACTTCACATTCTCAATTCTTGGCAACTTCAATAACTTCTTTTTTGCGGCACATTTATTGGACGTTGCCGTCGGTTTCAAGACGCTCCGTACCATTTTGCAATCAGTAACGCACAACGGGAAACAGGTAATTGAATGAAAGGATCTATTATATTTTTATTCGAAATTTTGGTAATATGTGGTTGCTACTCTGCGTGAAACTTACTTTTGGGAAACTAGCATTATTTATATGTGCAAAGCAAAATATTTCTAAACTCACAAAATGATAGTTACAAATTGGTTCGAATATTTATGGAATGGTTTAAAATTTTGTCTAAGAGCAGATTACAATAAAAGTTTATTATTTTGCAACTATTTGATTACTAACTAGATAACCCGATAGACGTTGTCCTGTACCCATGTCTACAATTTTTTAATATAATATACAAATATCTTTATGCCAAAATGCATATACATTTATAATATGAGCGATGTTAAATTAAACTGATTAAATAAAATGATGAGTCTCAATTCCCACACTATATTGGAAACTGAAGTGTTTTAAACGATATAACATAACCACAACCATAACATAACACTGGTACTTCATGTTGGATTAAATTAAATTAATTTTTTATTATTTATGATATCCAAAATTGCATCTTAAACTTCTCCTAATCGATATCGTGATGGATGAATTGTATGTATTCATCTTTACTTTCCCATTTGTTGTTATAAAGTGAAATTTTTACGAATTTTAAAAAAATTGTGGATAGATTAGTAAAAGATGCAAAGTAATTATATATTGAAAAAAAAACTATATTGAAAATTTAATATCCGAATCTTGTGTTGGCGCCCCCTAAGGCGTGCGCTCGTATTTTTCGCATGCAGCGCATTAAATGTAGGGCCGGCCTTGATTAATACTTAATTTCATATTTTAAGTGAATTATCCTGTTCATATGTGTATCATTCAATCTGCCATACATACACTGTATTTTATATTAAATTTCTGGCACATCTCAGCTGCTTTTTGGCAATAATAATGTAGACATGACATTTTTTTAAATCATGAATTTATTATACATAATACATATTCTAATATTTTCTAGGTTCATAAGTGAATTGAAATTTTTGGCAGATGATAGTTTTCATTTGTTTTCAATGCAAACAATGGCATGTCGTTTTTTGCAACTTTTTCCATTTATTTCTGCAATATTGCACATTCATCCCAGTACTTTATAATCACATACATAATAGAAAATTTCCTTAACAAACTTCCGAAAAATTTATCAAAATCCGAAGTATACAGTGAGTGCTTGTAATTTAATATGATAGCAACAAAGCTCAAATTGATTCTAAGTTTTAGTTAGATAACGTTTGTATGTGAAAAAGACAAGGGCTGTTTTTAGGGTTTTCCCGGCAATTATTCGATTTTATCTCGCCGTAAGAACCATCCTTGGACTTCAACAAACATTTTAAAAAAAGAATTGGCCAAATTGGACCAGGCGTTGTTACCAACACATTTTACGATTCATTTTTATATATAAGATTTTGCAATTGAATATTTATATTAAATCTAATTTATTTCTTTCAGCTCGTTTTGACCGTGATGTTGCTGACCATCATAGTATATATTTATACTGTAATTGCCTTCAACTTCTTCAGAAAGTTCTATGTACAGGAAGAAGACGAGGAAGTTGACAAAAAGTGTCATGACATGATGACGGTAATAATAATATTATATATTAGTAATTTAAACAAAAATATATAGGAAATAATAAATATATATAATTTTCTATTATAATTTAACATAAACATGAGCATTTTATATAAAATCACACACCATTAGGCTTTTCAGAAAAGGGAGACAAAAAAGGACATAATATTCCCATAGCTATTCTATATCTCACCAATTTTATAACGTGTGAATCATGAAATAAATAATCAACTAAAAAAATAAATAGGTATCGTATTAATTTATGTATTTTTTATAATTTCCCAGTGTTTCGTGTTCCACTTGTATAAGGGTGTGAGAGCCGGTGGTGGTATCGGAGATGAAATCGAACCACCAGATGGTGACGATTACGAAGTGTACCGTATCATGTTCGATATTACATTTTTCTTCTTCGTCATTGTTATCTTGCTGGCTATCATTCAAGGTGAGAAATTAATATATCTATGATTATAAGGTCTTTGTTCTAAAAGCAATCATATGAAACATTCATTATAATATTTAAATTCAAATTAAATTCATCCATATGGTGGCTGCATGCGAATTAAAAGAGGAGCTGATCAATATCCATAACATTAAAATAGACTAACTTATGTTACTAAACTCTTAATTAAAATAACTAAATAATTTGCGTGATATTTTATATTAAAAGACCATCCAAGGTTTCTTAAAAGTTATTTACATACAAGTATTGGACCAAGGATGCTTCTTTGTGGTACTCCAGATTTAATAACCTTGCATAAAAAATTGAAGTTAAATAATTTTATTAATAAAATTGATTTCACATTGGTTATTTTTCATTATATATATATATATATATATATATATATAAAATTTAATATATAAATATATATATATATATATATATATATATATATATTGTGTTATTGGCCAGCTTCCAACTGAATTTTTTATACATGCTCTAATAATTTTAACGTTATTTTAATTAGTCGTGTTCTCATGTGTAAAAAACAAACTGTATTAGTTTCCACATCATAATTATTTTAAATGATTAGATTCTGTACATAAATTAACGGATGAGGCAAAATAATAATTATCTGATGATAGAAAATAATTGTCCACTAATTTGTATACAGGTTTTTAATTGCATATTAGTTATGTATGGCGCTTCCGATTTCTATAAAGAAAATTATAATACGCTTCATATTTATAATAATATATTTTATACAAATTTAATAAAAAATGTATCTCACAATAATTGAATAGGATATCATACAAGGATAAAATTTTTCTCCCAAAGAGTTGAGAAATCTATTTATTATTTAAAAATCTATGCATTTTTTTCAATGATCTAAAAATATTTATAGTAGCTGAAATGAGTAAGTGTGAAATTTTTATTTTCAAGACAATTGTTTATTTTCGGCTTTTCTTGCATCATTTCTTTTTTTATCGTTTATTTTTCAATGGCCTGTCTTGAACTTATATATTATACAGTTAATCTGATTGCTGATAAATAAAATGGTAATTTAAAAATTTTTAATATAAATATATATGATATCTATTTTAGGTTTGATCATCGATGCTTTTGGTGAGCTTCGTGATCAGCTGGAAAGCGTCAAAGAAGATATGGAGAGTAATTGCTTCATTTGTGGTATAGGGAAGGATTACTTTGATAAGGTAAATATAATAAAAAAAGTCAAATATTTGTTAAACGATTTATTTCTATACATTATTGCAATTGCAATAAACACATATTTTCAAATTTATTTATACTTAAAATATTGTATTATATGACGCTAAGTCTAATCCTGCCCATTATGTCATTCATAACCCTGTCCATTATAAGTGTTTTGAATTTTATTTTAAAATTTACATAAATTTATTCAGTGATAGTTTTTTTTTAAATATTAATTTATAGTAAACAATGTAAAGATGATGTAAATAATACAAAATTTAATAGAATTCAATGCACACCCATCTCTTTGATATCAATATCAAACTAATGGCTATTTAATAGCAATCCAATGATATTAGGTGCAAGACTTTACTTTTCCCATTATTAAGTTATTTTAACTTTTTGCAACAATTTTAGAAAGGACTGTTTTCAGTTAAAAATATATTTGTTTAGGAATTATATATTTATATAAACATCGTGAATTAAAATAATAATTTATACTAATCATGGCGAGACAACCATAATATCGAAATATTTTTAACCTTAACGTTATTTAATAATGTTTGTGAAAAAGGCAAAAAAATTCAAATAAAAATATTGTGCGTGTATTTTTATAATTGTTAATGTATATATATATATATATATATATATATATATATCATCACAATAATTCAAAATATTAATCTATTTTTTGCTATGTAAATTATAATCAATCTCAATTTGAATATTTACAGAAATAGAATTTTTATTAATAAATGATAATAATATTTCGTATTTGTGTACTCGTTTCAATTTAAAAGTCTGGAAAATTTAAAACTAAATAAATAATTATGATAAAAAATATAAACATTATATTTCTGTTCATTTTTAGGTGCCGCATGGGTTCGACACGCACGTGCAGCAGGAACATAATCTTGCAAATTATATGTAAGTATTTTGAAAAAATCAATTAAATATTAATTTATTTGAACAAAATATTTTTATATCAAAATATAATACTAATCCTACTCAACTAAAATTGTATAATCTGATAAAATTTAAAATTGGCCTCTTATCACTTATTACATAAGTATTTACAATTTAAAATATAGTGAGAGCTAGTGTAAATTTTTTCTCATACAAAAATCTTATACCAACTATTTTTTATTAACTTCCCGTAGGGTAAGTTATAGTAATCGCAAGAAATCGAAAATAAATTTTTTTGCATATCTTTACATTTTAATTTTTTCTGGACATTTTGGTAAACCTTAGAAAAAAAGGATGTGTGTGGATACAATTTATCGCCACCATTTCGGGCGCACGGATCAACCGATTTGAATGATTCAAAAAACATTCGATTCCTATTAATGGGAAGACGTGCTGATTAGTTTTTGGTGAAGATAGGTCTCGCTGTTTTGAAGATATGGTGTAAAAAGTGCCAAAAACCGTAATTCAGTTTTTTAGATAACGGTGCGTTCAATTTGAATGATTCAAATAACATGTTGCTTGCATTGACAGAATGAAGATTAAATTTTTGAAAAGGCAGGTCTTGCGGTTTTGGAGATATAGAAGAAAAAAGTGAAAAAAATGGTAGTTGGCTTTCAAAAATGATTATAAGACTTATGTTCATCAATTTATCAGATATTTTAAAGAAATTTAAAAAATGAGTACTAATTTTGTTACAATTTTTTGGATTACGTATCAAGATTTTATATTTTTAAAGTTTACTTGTAAGGTTCAAACAAATACCAAAATTTTCAAAAAACATTTTTTTTTAATTTTCAAAGATATACATGGTTTTATACCTTAAATTTAAATTTATACTTCGAATTTTAAATATATTTTAAAAAGGTATATGGGCTCGCCCGTAGGTAAGCGGTTAAGAGCGACGGGACTTGTTTCAGAGGTCCCGGGTTCGATACCCACTTTGAGCAGCCTGTTGTCAGGCAGCAGTGACAACAATTTTCACTTGGAAATATAAATAGCAATATGTTTCCAAGTGAAAATAGCCCTCACCCGGCATTGTTGCACCATACTTGCCCTATTACAGAGATTGTAATAAAAATTTATCATACAGAGATGTGACAACTGTTTGGGTTGCCATCTGTAATAAAACAAACGTAGTTTGAAAGATATTAATCACAACAGCTCATAGAACCCATAAGTTCTGATCGCTGTTCAAATAAAATTAAAAAAAAGGTATATATTTCATATGCGTTATTCTAATCGTTTAAATTATATCCTCTGATTCATTCGATATCTCTTGCTAATGTAAACATTCTCAAGTGTATTCTATGCGATAAGATTGTCGCGGTGTAATATATGAGCGATAAAATATATAGTATTTATAATTAACTTTTTAAAATAATTGTTATTAATCATTGATCAATATTTATTGATCATTGATTTTTTCTCGAATAATTAATTCTAGTATGGAAAGTTCCAGCAGTTTGCCTTAAGGCACACAACTTTATAACGAATTTCATTAACTTATTGAACAATATTTGATTAATTTTATCATCTTTTCAGGTTCTTCCTGATGCATCTGATCAACAAACCAGACACCGAGTACACGGGTCAAGAGACCTTTGTCTGGAACATGTACCAACAAAGGTGCTGGGATTTCTTCCCAGTTGGTGACTGTTTCAGGAAACAATATGAAGACGAACTTGGCGGTTCTGCAAGTTAAGGTTTCTTATAAAACACCTCCAATTATGTGAGAGTAATTAGTTAACAAATTAAATTTAAATTTATATAAAATGAATTAATATTTGTGAGTGTGTGGTAAGTAAAGAAGATTTGGTTACTGGTTAATTCTTGGATAACTTGACTATTTATTTTTTTGATTAATTAGAGTCAAAACATCCAATTATTGACAATGATATGAATTGGTTTTATGAAGTAATAAAATAACAGAAATATTTGGAACAAATTAAATTATTTAGCGACAAGTCGATTGTTGTTATTTAAATATTACGTGTCATTACGACTAAATCACTATATACTAGTGATAATATAATCTGAAGGAGCTAAGTTTTATTTATTTAAGTGTAAATTATGTAATTTGTAAATATATTAATAATTTAAATTGCATAATGATTTAATTAGAGTTTTAATCAAACTCTATATTAGTTATTTATAAAAGACAACCCATGTTTGACTTTGAAACCGCCACTGTTTAATCGAGATATTGGAGGTTTTCAGTTTGTTATTATCGAACCTTGTAATTAAATATTTAATTATATGTATTCGCCAACGTTTCGAAAATATACTTGTATATATGCCTATAGGTTCAGTTTGTTTTAATTGATGTACGATGCGATAAAAATCTGTTTTTATAACTGTATATATTACAGGTAACAAAGATATTAATATTGAGAAAATATAGGTATAATAAATAAGGACAGATGATGTTTTATTGTTGAATTTTGTTGAAATTATATGTCTTTTGTATATCTAAATAATGAAGATGTTTTCGGTTGTAGACGTAAATAAGTACCTTGTGGTTTTTAGAAATAAACGCTTTTATTCATTGCTGGTGTAATATTTATATTGTTTCTTCTAAAAAGTAAAATACAAAAGTAATATTGTTTTCACATTTTTGTATACCTTGAAAATATTTATAAAATTGTAAGCCCTGAATCGAGTATGGATTGTCGGTCAAAGGTAAGACTTCTGGTAATTTTCCTAACTATTATTAAATTTATATTATATAAATTTTATTAGATAAGACATTGTGACATAGAACAGGTATTACGTTGCATTTTTAATTGTTAGAGCGTTATTTGCAATCGTTATTTCAAAATAATGGACATTTGTTCTTTGGAAGTGCATAGGAACAGTACGAGTTCACATCTAAGATAATTTTAAATATTATTAATTTAATAAATAAGTAAATTATTAATAAATAAATAAGTAAATTAATCTCAATAAATAAATAAACAATTTTAAGTAATAAATAAATTACTTGTATTTATTAATAAATAACTATATTAGACACCTTATATATGTTTTTGATGAAAATTCTTCAAAAAATAAGTACAATAGGAAAAAAACAAATAGTGTCAGTGATTACTTGTTTGTTGTACAATTTAACATATGTGTAAAATTGAAAAATAGTTTAATATATGGTGGAAATTGCAATAAAATTGTGATTTTAGTCAGAAAGCAATGATAATAGATTATATCTGTAAGTGCAATTATTATTTCATAATTTACTTATACAAAATAACAATGGATTGTGCTTGAAGATTGATTAATAATTAAGGTAAGATCTAAAAAGTTCATGCTTATATAATTATTTTGAAGCCTGATTTCTGCACGATTTTACAGAATTATTCACAAAATTAATGCTTATTTACGATATTAAGACAATATTTGAAATAATATTAAATACGTGTATTTCTTGCAAAAAGATAAAAAATGTTTGATGTGAAAATAGATCGGTGGAACTGTTATCCAAAAAAAAAATATTTGACAAAATTAGTAGACTTTTTAAAATATAAAATGAATATGAGGCATTTAAAAAATCAATATGGTAAAATTTCAGTAAACATATAGAAAGCCGTCTAGTAAAAATTAATCAAAATCAATAAAACTTTAATAAACATATAGAATGTCTAGTATTATATAAATTAATGTAGATAGGTAAATGCTCTAACGATGTTATATATAAAAAATTACAATGAAAGTTATGTCTAAAAAATGCGTATTTAAGACAATTCCTAGTGGATTAAAATTTTTATGTTCATATTTTGATTAATCAAATAAAAACTCAAATTTTATCCAGCATTATTGATTTTATATTCGTTTATTGTCTAATATTTGATTATTTTTATTTTTCAATTATGTTTATTATGATTCATAAATATATTATGATTTCATTATTTGTTTAAAATTAAGTTCAGTAAAAAAATCGCTTAGTACTTTTTCTTTTTATCCCGCCTAAGAGGTGAAAAAAATCAGATGACAAATCTTAGAAAAATAATAAAAAACATCGACGTTTTTTGTTGCAGAAATATTTATTGTGAATAACTAACTTGTTAACAAATCTTTTCTTAACGTTTATTGTTACTTTCTATGATATTTTTAAACATTTTTATACATTGCACATACATCACAAAACAAATTAATCATATATATATATACGAATCTGATAAAAATCTAATAACATGGTATAAATAATAATTTAATACCCTGAACACCTGAAGGTATGCAATGTAATACTAAAAACTGGTTATGTATCAATTAATGACTTGCTCATTTCAAGATCTAGATCCAATACAACCTAGATCAGTCAATCCAGATCAGTAACAAATTGGTTCATCAATATGATTAATGTGATCTCGACAGAGTAATAACATGAATTTAAAACTTATTTTAATAAGTTTTATAATGCATACGTGATACATGAAAGTGATTGAGAAATATATACATATACTCATTATATTGATGTAGATTTTAATTATCGTTATGTTCTCTGTGTTGTTGAAAACTTGTTCAGGAATTTTGGAAATATATATAGGGTAGACTTGGCCACAAAGGTCCAATTTGATTTTCAGTAATTACACTGCCTGATGAAGCCAAATAAATTACATCATAACACATATCAAATAGGCAAATATCAAAATATGTTCAGTAAAAATCGTAATTAATTCCTAATTAGTGAAACATGTTTGTGCTATTTTTCTAAAACTTGTCATATGAATTATTTCACTTCATAGACAGGATAAAAAGAAACAGTCAGGCCGCAAAGAGATCGACTGTTTTAGTTTTAATTTTAAAATGTTTTTACTAAATGTTTGCTACACTATTCAACCAATGCAAAATACTAATTTCTTGGGTACACACAATTACTTGGATCTAGTATTTTGTAAGAAATATTCATCAGCAAAATTAGATTAACTATTAATCATCTATTAATATAATTTGATTGAAAAAATGAATATATTAACTTCCCGTAGGGTAAGTGATTGTAATCGTCCAACAATCAAAATTGAAAATTTTTACATTTCTTTACGTTCCAAAGGTTTCTGAATATTTTGGCATACCTTAGAAAAAGTGGATTTATGTGTGTGTGTGTATGTGTGTGTGTATGAGTGTGTGTGGGCGGATACAAATTTTTGTCGACAATCAACCCATTTGAATAATTCAAAAACCATTCGATTCGTATTGATAATTAAACGTGCTGATTAGTTTTTGGCGAAGGCAGGTCCAGCCGTTCCGAAGATACGGGGCAAAAAGTGCCAAAAACGGTAACTCAGTTTTTAAGAGTACGGAGCGTCCGATTTTAATAATTCAGAGAACATTTTACTTGTATTGACAAGATTAATAACTAATTAAATTTTTGGGAGGAAGGTCCAAAAGGCAGGCAGGTTATTGACTCTCAATGAAAATACATTAAAAATATCATTTGGCGGTCAAAAACGTGCATTTGACATATATGTACATCAAATTATCAGATATTTTATATAGATTTTAATAATGTGTACAGATATTGTGTAAATTTTTTTGGGGTTCCGCACCAAGATTTTTAATTACGGTACGGGAAGTTTCAGTAATTTGCCTTAAGGCACGATGCCATGCACCCCACTAGCTTTGAATTTAGTTTACTTTTTTGAGGATACTGATTTTTAACTTGATTTCCACCCTTAATTTTTTGGTTTATAAGTAAATCCGTTTCTACACAAATTTTTATAAAATGTAAGATTGCAAATTGAATGTGCCTGGCCGTCGGTTTTCTAACAAAATAACGAAAAGCCACAATATTACGAGTACATTAAATAATAAATCATCAACGCGCAATATGAGATTCCTTGACACGTGCATCGACTTTTATTTCTTTATTAGAAAGATCTTCCTTTCTTATTCTCGAAATGTTCGGTAGCAATTTAACAATACAAATTTTGCCACATAATAGATTCCTGCTGAATAAGAATTGAAGAATTGAGTTTTTGGTTATCGCGTGTGTATTATAATAAAATATAATAAAACCGCCGACATCATATATCAAATTTGGTAGTTCTTTAGCCCTGCGAATGGATGGATGTTTCGGCGCATCCATGTTTTTATGTAAAATTTTAACGTATAATTTACAATGGGTTTCTTGAAAATGAAGCGATTCACGCCAGTGCTTCTCAACATAGGAAGAAATTCATACATACATCAAATGATCTTATAAAACAAAGCCAGCTTTGAAGCCAATTTCCAAAATATGAAATATTTTGTATTCACAAACTTTTTTTGATTTATTATTGTGTATTTTAGTTAGGATAAACAATTGTGTAATTCGGGCCAAAATATAAATTAAAAATTAAATTTTAATATTTAATAAGCATTAAACTTTTCAAATATTGTAATTGTAATAAATTCCATTAATTCTAAATATTAAGCGGAAAAGAATTGCATATATTTCACTCATAATTGATACTATTATTTAAACAGACTCGTAGTTTTTTATAATATTGTGAAATAGTTCTGCTCTACTCTTACCAGGTTACTTTATTTAATTAGCAAATAATTATATAAAAAACACGTTATGATTTGTATACATAATAAATTGTCGACTGCAGAGTAAAAGTATTCAATATTATTATTTTTAATAATCTAATATTACTTTCGTAATTGAAACAGCCTTAAGCGATGGGATAAACAGATGGTATCAATTCTTTTCTGTATAAAAATTGTATAGGTGATTTCGAGAACATGACCATTATAATATTATAATAATAAAGATTCTTCATTGTTATAATATTATACTATTATAATAAATTCAATGAATTTCAATTACTTTTTCCGAATATTTTAAACCAATCACCCGATAAAAATTCGAATCAACACAGTTGTGTAAAGCATTTGATACTAATAGTAAATTTAATTTAAATGATGTGAAAGATGATATAATTAAATTTATAAATCATTATATTGTACAATAATTATATTCAA